TAACTTAGAAAAGTAACAGCTCTTGGTCTTTGGGGGAAAGGAATAATGGCTTACAACCAGTGCACAATGAAATAATGCACAGACTTTATCCTTGAAACTTCATGGTTGGCTGATTCTGATAAGTGCCTCATTACATTGTTCTTGATGGAATGAATCAAATGCTCTCCACATACTAGTTAGACTTTATTTGCAGGGACAATGACTTAATAAGGATGACCAAAGAGGTGGCAAAATGATTTAAGTGTTCACACTGATTGAAATACTCTTTCCCAAGATGAAATATTAAGCACGTGTAAAATCTCAAATGAAAATACATTTTCTAGCAATATACTCTCCATACTAAATGCGAGCAAAATGTTCTCTAAGAGTTGAAAAAAGCAATTGGCTACAAAATGCGGGGCAACAGGAGTGAGTCAATGTTCCAAAGAACTTTTTTAAAGAGTCAAGACTCTGGGGCACCTGGGTGGCTCAGTCAGTTAAGCGTCTGCCTTCAGCTCAGGTCATGATCCCAGGGTCCTGGGATCGAGCCCCACATTGGGCTCCCTGCTCGGCAGGAAGCCTGCTTCTCCCTCTCCCACTCCCCCTGCTTGTGTTCCCTCTCTCGCTGTCTCTCTCTCTGTCAAATAAATAAATAAAATCTTTAAAAATAAATAAAGAAATAAATTAAAAAAATAAAGAGCCAAGACTCTCACAGGGGAAGGGAGGGAAAAATGAAACCAGACAAAACCAGAGAGGGACACAAACCATAAGAGACTCTTAATCTCAGGAAACAAACTGAGGGGTGGCCGGGTGATGGACATTGGGGACGGTATGTGCTATGGTGAGCACTGTGAATTGTGTAAGACTGATGAATCACAGACCTGTGCCCCTGAAACAAATAATACATGTTAATAAAAAAAAAAAAAAAAAAGCCAAGACTCTCGTCTATTCTACATCTCACTTCCAAATTAAAGAATGAAGAATTGTAAGAAATACAGAAGCCCATAGAACCCTTGGTCTCTCCAAGCTCTCATGTGGTTTAGTTGCACCAAAATCTGTCTACATCACCCTCTAAATTTAATAGTGGAATGACTACATTAACTGGGAAGACTCCACCTCTCATCTTGGTTTTGAGCCACAGGAGCGAGTTCAACATGGTAGGGTTCTAAGATACTTGAATGGAACTGCCTAGTTCAGAAATAAGAGATTTCAACTAATTGGTGACATTATTCCAAAACTGTTTGTTTTGCTTATCAACTTAGAAGAATAGAGGTCACTTAACTATGTTGATGAGTTATACTAGAATGTCAACTTAATTTTAACTATTAGAGATCAATGCATCACAAGACTATGAATCCTTAACTCCTTTATTTCAATGCATTTATACAGAAAACCTAAGCCACTACATACTCATAAAAATGTATAACATCTTGAAATTGCCCAGCATAGGCAAGCTCTCATGGCCTCAAGAGAAGTAAATCAAGTTAATACTGATCAGCAAGTATACTTGCCTCCAAGTACCCGTTCTGAATACTGAAAATACAGGAAGTCATTTTATAAATGAAAATAAGATAGCACTTAGTGCGATATACACATACAAAAAAGAAAATCTCTCAGATTTTAATACAAACAGCTTAAAATTTTGATAGCAAGCTTAGGAAATGGGTACTTGAAAAGTAAAGCCAAAGATAATTCAAAGGACAAAGTCATTACACATTACCCTTTATGTGTGTTGTATGCAAACATGATTTCATCTAAAGATGTAGAGGTAAATCAAGGTCTTTCCTATGAGGAAGTGTGGGCATTTGGCTACATTAAAAACTATTCCACATAGGAAAAAGCTTATTGAATGAATAACCATTTTTTCATTTTTTTAGAAGGTTTTTTTTTTTTAAAGATTTTATTTATTTGAGAAAGAGAATGAGATAGAGCATGAGAGGGTCCGAGGGAGAAAAAGACTCCCTGCTGAGCAGGGAGCCCGATGTGGGACTCGATCCAGGGACTCCAGGATCATGACCTGAGCCGAAGGCAGTCGCTTAACCAACTGAGCCACCCAGGCGCCCTTTTTAGAAGATTTTACTTATTTGAGAGAGAGAGAGGATGAGAAAGAGAGAGCATGAGAGGGGAGAGGTCAGAGGGAGAAGCAGACTCCCTGCCAAGATGGGAGCCCGATGCAGGACTAGATCCTGGGACTCCAGAATCATGACCTGAGCCAAAGGCAGTTGCTTAACCAACTGAACCACCCAGGTGCCCATGAATAACCATGTTTTGTTTTGTTTTGTTTTGTTTTGTTTTAAGATTTTATTTATTTATTTGACAGAGAGAGAGACAGCGAAAGAGGGAACACAAGCAGGGGGAGTGGGAGAGGGAGAAGCAGGCTTCCCACTGAGCAGGGAGCCAGACACGGGGCTGGATCCCAGGACCCTGGGATCATGACCTGAGCCGAAGGCAGACGCTTAACGACTGAGCCACCCAGGCACTCCTGAATAATCATTTTTAAAACAAAACTACATTCAAATTTGTCTCGCAACACTTATATTTGTAATGTGAAAAAAATGAAAATAGTATAAATGTCCAACAATAAGAGAATGATAAAGTGTATTTTACAATGAGATATTCTGCATCCATTAAAAATATTTTTCAGGGCAGTGCCTGGGTGACTCAGACTCTTGATTTTTGTTCAGATCATGATCTCAGGGGTTGTGAGACTGAGCCCCAAGTTGGGCTCCACACTGGGCGTAGAGCCTATTTAAGATTCCCTCTCTCCCCCTCGGCCCCCCGCCCCGATAAATATATATTTCCAATAAAATTCACACCGGGGGAAATCCCTATGATATGAAAAAAAAGGAGAAATAATAAGGATCCAAGTGTTGACACAGTATGACTCCAACTCTGTGTGGATATATATATGTGTGACAGTATGTGTATGTGCGTATGTGTGTGTATTCTTTATTATCTCAACACTAGGTGTTGCTAAATTTTAGCATTATAAATAATTTAATTTTGTATTGCACTAGTTTCCCAAATTTGTTACAATGATAGATACATGTTATTTAAAACAAACACTCAGTGAGGTGACTAATTGGCAGTGTGCACCACAGTCCTCTGGCAGCGTGCCCGCTCTGCCGCAGCTGGAAGGCCAAAGTCCATTTCCTAAATCTCCCCTATAGATAAGGATCTAGAAGCAAACAGCATTCTGCACATTTGCATACAAGAGCCTGACATTTAAATGACGGTTGTGGAAGAGGGAATTGTCCTGGGCTGTTGTGTTGTGAGGGGCAAGCCTGGCGATGGAGACGATCCAGTTTGCTGAGGCATTTCTGGCTTCAGTTCCTAGCTTCACAAGTGACAAGAGACAAGGTGAGCACACCTGGAGACAGGGTGGGCAGATGCAGGGGGAGGGATCAGGTGGGCAGATGCAGGGGGAGGGATCAGGTGGGCAGATGCAGGGGGAGGTGGGCAGATGCAGGGGGAGGGATCTCAGGTCACTTCTCTCCGGGAAGATGTGCAGTACTGCATTATTCAGAAAGTCCTTGAGGAGGTCCAGCCTACAGCCCGCTCTTCAAGCACTTCCAGTGATTTTCTGAGATTCCAATTCTAAGTATTAAGTTTGTGTTTATGTTTAAAATAGCTACTGTGGTTCTGTTTTGTGCAACTGACGGTGACTCACATACCCAGGATGTGGAAGGAATTAAAAAGAAAACCCTGATTACCTCAATGACTTCTGACCCACTATCCTTAAACCATGTGAAAATCTTTTTAATAATGCATTTTTTTTAACTGTCAACTCTACTTGTTTATACACTTCTAAATACCCATGTAAATTAAATCTATTCTGAACACAAATTAATTGTCATGAGGCTTATTCATAAACTGGATTCTGCTTCTTTGGATGGTTTACTTCATGATCAAGCATTCTAAAATTTCAAGTTAATCTCAATGAGAAGATACTCCAACTTGATTCCTCACCAAATACATAATGAAATATTTCAGAAAAGTAAGCCTAACAGTTAAACTCCTAATCCAAAAAATCAGAGACTACAGCACACTGTTTTTTCCTGGTAGATTCTTCCCAGTTAAGGTACTCTAGATGCTCTGTGTATTATTTTTCCTTAAATGAACTACTACAAAAGAGTGTTTGTAGAAATGCAACAAGTAAAAAAAAAATTAGAACAGGTACTTTCACATAAATGCAAAGGATAAATCAAATATTAAGCTATATTCACTTTAATATTAATATGTAATTATAGTTCAACATACACATGGTGCTCAATTACTGTCTGCATTGAAAAAAATATTAATTCATTCAATAGATGTTTACTGAGACTCTACAGATTCAGCAGTGAAAATGACAAACACAGCTTAAAGCTCATTGAGCAAAAGGTTAGAGGTATAACAGAATGGGATGATAAGGCTCGAAAAAATAGAATAAAGTTTATTTTTTTAGACTAAATAAATTAGGTCATGGACTGAAATAAATTAGCTCAAAGAAGAAAATGTTATTAAGACTAGGAAGTACACGTCCTTTCTCTAAGAAGAAAAAATTGTCAATAGGGTAGTTAGACTATGGATTCTACTTTCATCCTTAGAAGTCCATAATGCTATAATTTCTTTAATGTACCTCATGAACCAATAGGAATATCTGCCAATACATGTGTAAAATACCTTTGCAAGGACATGCAAAAGGCTAATAAGGGGATTACCCCTGAAGAGAAATAGGGTGACTAGGACACAAAGTAGGAAAGGGACTTTACATGTACACGTTTCATGTCAAAAGATTTCATTTTTAATCATAAATATATTATCTATTCAAAAAATGGATACATAAGTAAATCTATTAGCATGAATTTTATCATAAAATGCAAGGGCAATATAAAATAAGAAGTCATCTAAACTTTGATGCAGAAGTTGATACGCACACACACAAAGGGCCACAGTGAAGATGGGCTAGAAGCAAAGGATCCAGTCAGCAGCTGACATTCATCATTGATACTAAGAAGACACAGAATAGAAATGGTTACCTTCCTGTCACAGGTTTTAGGGCTCCCAGCAGTGTTTTGCTTAAGGAAGCCAGCTGTTGTTGACCAGCGTGTGGGGTTTTTCCGTGAAGGCTCTTCAGAAGAAAAATTATTATCACTAATGGAAGTTGAAAGGCCAATTAAAGCTGGGTCACTGCTTCGTCGGACATGAAGAGGCATATCTATAAATACAAAAAAGCATTATATTTTTTAAAAGGTAACTAATGTCTGAAAACTACGTGTTAGGATAAAGGTAGTGAAATCCAAAAGATTAGAGTAACATTTAGGTGACAGTGGGTCACCATTCTAAATAGAAATTCCATTAGTTCCTTTAAAACACTTTACGGCAAAAGAAATGTAGTATGTATGGGATAACCTGCTCTGGAGTCAGACTGCCCAGGCTCGTATTTGTGCTTCACCAATTTGGTATCTGTCTGGTTCTGGGCAAGTCGCCTAACTAGACACTCTGCTTCTAGTCTCTTCCTACACAATAAAACCATCCTTCTTCCATAAGGGTATCTTGAGGACTAAATGAGATGAAGTGCTTAAAACAGTACCTGACACTCGTGCATACTCAATACACAGGGGCGCCTGAGTGGCGCAGCTGATTCAGCGTTGGGCTCTTGGTTTGGGCTCAAGTTGTGATCTCAGGATTGTGAGATCAAGCCCCACTCTGCTGAGCGAGGAGTCAGCTTGAGAGTCTCTCTCCCTCTCTCCCTCTGTCCCTCTTGCTCATGCACGCACTCTCTCTCTCAAATAAATACATAAATCTTTTAAAAGATATATATCATACATATTCTAAAGTAGAAATAATGATGTGAGCCATGGAACAAATTTTATCTAACTTTTAACCATATCGGGATTAAAAATACACAATCTAAACTTCTTGGCTCATCTATTAAGGAATTCTGTTAAATAAGATAATTACCTTGTTCAAAGAAGTACTATCAGAAAATATAGAGCACAAACACATTTCTTATCCTTAAGATAATGGAAATCTTGAAAGTAATATGCAGGTATCTGGCATATACTCATATACACAATTACATGAAAGACAATGTTTCAGCAACTGTATTCGCATAAAAGAGGGGTCTGTTTGCAACTGCTATAACACAATCATTAACAAACTCAGGTTAATATTTGTATCAAGAGCACTGAGCACACCTTAGCAGATACAATCATTGGTATAGCAGAGAAGGAACAGAACTATAAAACCAGATAAGAACAAAAGCACATGAGTCTGTAACACTGGGAATCAAAACCAAAAACTCCACTTACCAACTGAGCAAAATCACTCAAAAACATTAAATATAAGATGAAAAATTTAAATTATGTTAAAAAATAAATAATGTTAGAGACGATCTGTTTTCAAAAACTAGAATGCAAGGTAAATATTTCTAAAAAGTCTCTAAAAAGGGTGCCTGGGTGGCTCAGTCGGTTAAGTGTCTGACTCTTGGTTTTGGCTCAGGTCATGATCTCAGGGTCTTAAGACTAAGCCCCATGTGGGCTCTCATTCCCTCTCCCTCTGCCCCTTCCCCCACCTCTCATCCTCTCAAATAAATAAATAGTTTCTGACAAAACAGCTTCAGTGGTGGAATAAACTTGTGATTTACACTATGAAAAACATTTTTGGAACACTGATGAACTGATTAATGGTTTGGCTATACAGATCCTAAAGGATGGATGCTCAACTAAAAACAGACTCTACATACTGAGGGTGATATTTAAACCACTGTCAATCCAATAATCTCAAAGATGTTAAAGCAAATTAGAAATGATCAGAGGAAACAGAAGCATATGAATAAAATATTGCTTTTAACATGTGCTTCTATATCATGAGGATTTGATAATAAGAGAGCCTGGGTAACATTACCAGAAAAAAATATGCTGAACATTTAATTTAATACTGTTAGTAGTTACCTTAATTTGCTGGGAGAAACACACACATGAAAATTATAGAGAATAATTTCCAACTTTTAAGTGGTAAATAAAAAACTTGTGATGGCCCTTACTGCTTATACATTGCACCCAAAAATAAAACACACCAAGAATTATATAGTCATTCTCAAAACAAGTTCACAAAAATATACATCTACGAATCTATGTGTATTAACACTACAATGCTCTTACTATAAAAAAGACTTCCCTCCCAAATAACAAAACTGTTCCCAGATTCATCACATCAAAAATGTTAGCAGAAAAGCAAAAAGAGGAGGGGGAAGAATAAAACAGTTCTGGCCAATTATAGTACTGCTTCTTGGATATGAGTTCTGTTGCTTTCCAGTTACTGGGTTGTTGATTATTTAGTTGTTAAGGAACTCTGCACACCTCAACTTCTGTGTACACGCATGCCTGCACGTGAGCACCTTATGTGTCCATCTGTGTGTAAATCTAAAAGAAGCACTACTCAGCAGAGATGGTCTTTAAAAATGGAACAGAAGGAATGGCCACAATAAAACAATCACATAAAAGTACATTTCCACCCCAAAATAAATTCAGGAACTATATAATCTCATTGAATTTGCTTAGACAAAAGAAAAGAGCTTCTTATGCTTGCTTTTGAAAATTTTTCCCAGAAGAAATAAATTGCATATAAGGATGCATCTTCTGATGGGACATGATCACTGTGTTAATCTATTAGTCTGAAAAAGACAAAAATAATTAGCCTTTCACCTCTTGCATCTGTAACTCATGAAACTGCAGGTGTGTGGGGGGGAAGCGGGGGCTAGAAAGCAGATAAGGTACAGCGAGGACTGCAGACCCTGCGGGTAGAGCCTTCTGGGTAGATGTGGGGCACTGCACTGGGGCAGCACATATAGGACCTGTGGTGTGACAGATGTCCCAGGAGACGCGCTATCAGCCAGCCCTTCCTGTCAGTTCTTTGCACATTACACTTTCCGTTTTCATTTCCTTCCGTTTTCATTTTAGTGATGCCCATAAAAGGAAATAATATAGTCTGGATCTTTTGCTTCTACTACCTAGTAACCAAGTACCCTGATGCAATTTCAAAGCCCCATATTTACATTTCTGTTCACGGTCATATGCAGGAAGGTGATCTGAGTCCCAGGCCAATGAGAAAACTCAATTTCAAATGTAAACAATGTGTTCTTCATAAAAGAATGCCAAATGATACCATAATGATCTTCAAATCAAGGTTTTCTTGCAGTTCAATGCGCTGAAAGAACTGAATCCTAGTGCACACCAGCAGCATCACTAGGTCCAAATGCAAAGCCCCCAGGCCACACAGCATTGGTCTACATTCATGGTGCCTGTGATTCAGACTCAGCAACACACTGATGGTGTGAGATTTGCATTTGTATTGGTTTATAATTTCTTCTTGGTTTTATGGCTGCATGAAAACTATAAGACATTTTTATCCAGTTTATACACACATCTAAGTAACCTTGGATTAGAACCATTGATTTAACTTGCAGTGATCTGAGTCTTTTTTTTTAAATGAGGCTCTACATTAATCACAACAGAGGAACATGTGACTCACCTCACAGATGAGTAAGCTGAGGCTCAGCGAGATGACAGGAGGAGCTCAGGAACAATTTCCTGGCGCCTGGGTCAGTGCTGACTCACTACCCAAATCATGAAATCCATTTCTAGCTACTTGGAGATAAAAATGTGAGTCTCAATTTTGTAAAAGGAAAAATGTTTGTTGTTTTCTAAGTAGGATTATATATACTGAAAAATCATACACTGATTTTTAACAAATAGCAACATATGATTTTGGAGAGTTAAAGAAGTATTAATGTTAGTTATGCATATAGATTGAAACAACAGCCATCCCAATATCAGAAGTGTTAAAGAAAGAAAAACCTCCTGGTTAAGTATAAGTACGATGTATAAGATAATGAAGTACACCCCAAAGGAGACCAGCCTAGACCAGTGCTTGTCAAATTTTGATCTCAGGACTCTTTCACTCTAAAATTTACTGAGGGCCTCAAAGAGCTTTTGTTTATGTGGGTTATAGCTAGGGACGTTTACCATATTAGAAGTGGAAATGAAAACAATTTAAATATTTATTCCTTAATTCATTTTTAACTTAACAATAATAAACCCATTTACATGTTAACGTAAACAACAGAATTTTAGAAAATTCTATTTTATAAAACAAAGTTTATTTAGTGGAAGAGTAGCATTTACATTTTGTTTGATAGATGACATCTGGATTCTCATCCCTGCTTCTGATTTCAATGTGCTGCAACATGACAAGCATACAAAGAAAAAAAGAACTCCACAAATACTTAGCCGGAATAGTATTTTAATAATCTTTCCAAAACTGTAGATACTCTTCTTTGATACCACACCAAAACTTGACAAATGAGAGTTTCTCAAAGGTTAGCTGCAATATGGAATGTAAACTTCTCATTCTTTGTACATTAAAATCTACTTGTCTGTCTTACTTTGGATCTTTTACTCATCAAAAAATTCTGTAACATTAGCTATTTGGAACATATTATTGGCTTATATCACTCTTAAAAAGGTTGATATATTTCTTCATATCAGAAAATCACATAATGTGAATATCACTACCCATTTCATGAGAAGAGTCATTAAGTGGTGGGAGGACTTGTGTTTTCCAAAATCTAATTTTCACTAGAAGGCTTGCATGTTTTCTTTGGCAATAAATACTGTCCGGTATTTGCCATGTAGCGACAGGCTCACTTCATTCATTTTCTAGAAACTCTGCCAGACATCAAAGTCTGAAGAACCACAGTTTTCTGTCCTTTTTCAAAAAAATAAAAAGAGAAAAAAGAAAGAAAAAAGAAAACACGGTGTTCCACTAAAAAAAAGGGCTGGCTCCTCTTACAACGCCCACCATCACATAGAAGTTTTTCTCAAGACAACCACTGATCTTCAATATGTACAAATACTTTACGCCTACCTACCATTTTAATCACACAAAATATTAAACTGGATACTCAAAGGCCAGTATTTAGTAAAAGCAATCATTTTTGCCTCTTTATCAAGGACAGCAGATGGAAATGGCTTGTGTTTTAAAGTGTGAGGGTGTTGGGTAAAAAATACATCTGGTGCCAATGTCCTGATTTGTGCCAAGGGGCCTGCATTTTACCTATCAGTGCCTGAGCACCACTGGTGCAGAAGATCAACCCAGTGAAAAACACAACACAGATTTTGGTAATACTCTGAAAAACAGTCTTGCCCTAACAGC